CTTACTCAAAGTCAGGTGATGTTAGGTCCAGGTAAGGATGGTTGGCAGACCTTGGTATTTCATGCTTGAAAAATCTGTGGTGGTTGTCAACCTATATTCTTAGTTTCACTTCCTTATTATCATTTAAAATTCCATCTCCCTTAAACAAGGGCACTTTATTCCTTAAATTTTGCAATGCAACGCCAAAAAAGATAATTTATTTTATTATTTTTTTTTATTATCACACTGGCCGATTCCCACCAAGGCAGGGTGGCCCGAAAAAGAAAAACTTTCGCCATCATTCACTCCATTACTGTCTTGCCAGAAGGGTGCTTTACACTACAGTTTTTAAACTGCAACATTAACACCCCTCCTTCAGAGTGCAGACACTGTACTTCCCATCTCCAGGACTCAAGTCTGGCCTGCCGGTTTCCCTGAACCCCTTCATAAATGTTACTTTGCTCACATTCCAACAGCACGTCAAGTATTAACCCTTTCAGGGTCCGTCCCGTAGATCTACGGCTTTACGTTCAGGGTCCAAACCGTAGATCTACGCCATGAGCTCAGCTCACTCTGATAAACTGTGAGTGGTACATTTGGGCCTAGATATGAGAGAATACATCTATGTGGTATGTGTGCACCACATAAAACAGATCCTGCAGCACACCGTGCATAATGAGAGAAAAAAAATGAAATCATGATTTTTCGATTAAAACAGCAACTTTGCAGTGTTTTTTCGTATGTTTTTTATAGTTGTATTTGCAATTTCTTGGTCTCATTTGATAGAATGGAAGACATATTACAGAAATAGAGATGATTTTGATTGGTTTTAGCATTGGAAATGGCTTGAAACTGAGCTCAAAGTAGCGGAAATGTTAAGTTTTTGCCGATATTCAAGAGTAAACAAACAACCTCACACGTCTAATACACGTCAGCTGGTGGGTCTAATATACATTCACAAATATGGTGATGATATTTATACAATTATTACAGTATTGCATAACAGTAAATCTTCTATTTTTTGGTGTGAATAAAAATTCATTATGTGAATAAAAAATCAAAATGGAATTTATTTGTAAAGCCTCAAAACATAACTAATGAACAGAGGAAATGTTAGTTTAGTGCCAGGAATGCCTACATTGTTCATTCTGGACCCTATTTTGAAATTGGAATATTTTGAACTTTGTGTTAAATTGGCCAAATTAACAATTTCCGATCACTTTATTTTGTAGTTGAAACAGTTGACTTGGCGATTTCTTGTGCTCAATCGATAGAATAGAAGTAATACTAGTGAAATAGCTAAGAATTTGGTTGATTGGAATAATGTAATTGGCCTAAAATGGGAGTCAAAGTCGGCAAAATCGCCGATTCGTAAATATCGCTGACACATCAAAATTCGCGAGAGCATAATTTCGTCAATTTTCCACCAAATTTCGTACTTTTTGTTTTATTACCTTCACAAAAAGATTCTCTACGATTTCATAAGAAAAAATAACAAATTTTTTTTTTGAAATATCTTGGACACTGGTGCGTGACTCCAGATTTGGGCCTTGGACCCTGAAAGGGTTAAAAACCATTTGTCTCCATTCACTCCTATCAAACACGCTCACGCATGCCTGCTGGAAGTCCAAGCCCCTCGCACACAAAACCTCCTTTACCCCCTCCCTCCAACCTTTCCTAGGCCGACCCCTACCCCGCCTTCCTTCCACTACAGACTGATACACTCTTGAAGTCACTCTGTTTCGCTCCATTCTCTCTACATGTCCGAACCACCTCAACAACCCTTCCTCAGCCCTCTGGACAACAGTTTTGGTAATCCCGCACCTCCTCCTAACTTCCAAACTACGAATTCTTTGCATTATATTCACACCACACATTGCCCTCAGACATGACATCTCCACCGCCTCCAGCCTTCTCCTCGCTGCAACATTCATCACCCATGCTTCACACCCATACAGGAGCGTTGGTAAAACTATACTCTCATACATTCCCCTCTTTGCCTCCAAGGACAAAGTTCTTTGTCTCCACAGACTCCTAAGTGCACCACTCACCCTTTTCCCCTCATCAATTCTATGATTCACCTCATCTTTCACAGACCCATCCGCTGACATATCCACTCCCAAATATCTGAATACATTCACCTCCTCCATACTCTCTCCCTCCAACCTGATATCCAATCTTTCATCACCTAATCTTTATATCCTTATAACCTTACTCTTTCCTGTATTCACTTTTAATTTTCTTCTTTTGCACACCCTACCAAATTCATCCACCAATCTCTGCAACTTCTCTTCAGAATCTCCCAAGAGCACAGTGTCATCAGCAAAGCAACTGTGACAACTCCCACTTTGTGTGTGATTCTTTATCTTTTAACTCCACGCCTCTTGCCAAGACCCTCGCATTTACTTCTCTTACAACCCTATCTATAAATATATTAAACAACCACAGTGACATCACACATCCTTGTCTAAGGCCTACTTTTACTGGGAAATAATTTCCCTCTTTCCTACATACTCTAACTTGAGCCTCACTATCCTAGTAAAAACTCTTCACTGCTTTCAGTAACCTACCTCCTACACCATACACCTGCAACATCTGCCACATTGCCCCCCTATCCACCCCGTCATACGCCTTTTCCAAATCCATAAATGCCACAAAGACCTCTTTAGCCTTATCTAAATACAGTGGACCCCCGCATAACGATCACCTCCAAATGCGACCAATTATGTAAGTGTATTTATGTAAGTGCGTTTGTACGTGTATGTTTGGGGGTCTGAAATTGACTAATCTACTTCACAATATTCCTTATGGGAAAAAATTCGGTCAGTACTGGCACCTGAACATACTACTGGAATGAAAAAAGTTCGTTAACCGGGGGTCCACTGTACTGTTCACTTATATGTTTCACTGTAGACACCTGGTCCACACACCCCTGATAGCTTCTTTTTCTGTTTCCAAGCACTGTACATTGTCACTCTTAGCTCTATGCTTTCTGGTTGTCTTAGTAGTATTTCTACTGGTTCTTGGAGCTGTAGCTTTGTCTTCACATACATAGATATTCTTTTCTAACATTTTTTTTATAAATGTTATGATACAGAGCATGTCTAGTGTTATCTACCTCAAGTATGAACATTTGCAAGTAACAATGTGTTCAATGAGGATGTTTAAGATACATAGGCTTACAACATAAGTACAGTAGGGGCCCACTTACACAGCAGGATAGGTTCCAGGATACCGCCGCAAAGCAGACATCGCCGGAAAGCAGAACGCCATTTTTTCCACTCATAAATGCATATAAATGCCAGATAACAAGTTTACACTAACATATACTATTAAGTTAGCAATAGAACTAGGCATTAAAAAACAATAAAAAATAAAATACACATACAGTACACTCATTATTTACTTCAAAATACAGTGGACCCCCGGTTAACGATATTTTTTCACTCCATAAGTATGTTCAGGTGCCAGTACTGACCGAATTTATTCCCATAAAGAATATTGTTAAGTAGATTAGTCCATTTCAGACCCCCAAACATACACGTACAAACGCACTTACATAAATACACTTACATAATTGGTCGCATTCGGAGGTAATCGTTATGCGGGGGTCCACTGTATTTGTAGTCTTAATGTAGGGCAAAAGGTGAGTAGTATTTATTGTAAGAAGTCAGGTGTTGTAGGTATGGTAGCCCTCCTGGCCACCCCACCCACACATATACTACAATGCTTAAAGTGCCCTAGAGTGATAAAATGCACATACAGTACACTCATTACTTGCCTTAAAATATTTGCAGTTTTAATGGTCTTAAAGTAGGGTGAGGTGAAAAGTATTTATTTGTAGAAAGTCAGATGTGGGAGGTAGGGTAGCCCGCCTGGCCACCCCATCTACTATGACATTTAAAGCACCCTAGAGTGATAAAATGCATATACAGTACACTCATTACTTACCTTAAAATATCTGTAGTCTTAATGTAGGGCGAGAGGTGAGTAAGCGAGATAAAAATGAATAAACGAGAGAGAACGAGTAAGAGGACAGAGCCGCAGAGTATGCGTCTGGTTATGGTTGATACACGTTCATACAAACACCTTACATTGTGTACAAGTTGTCTCTACAGTGGTACAGTAGAATAAAGACCAACACTCCCATTCTCATGCAACACACCATTTTTAGAGGGAATATTATCATAATCATAATAAAAAAGAAGCGCTAAACCCGCAAGGGTAGTGAATAGCTATAGAGTGAAGGCATATGAAAGGAATATTTCTCTACAGTTAAGTAACTGGTGTTTGACTAGAGAAAACGTAGTTCTTCCGACGCTCTTACAAACCGCTTGGTAAACAAATCTCATATTTATGTAAATTTTTATACTGTGGGTGTATGTATAATGTTTATGTTATGTAGCGTGTTTATTACACAATTATGAAAAAATATTATAGATGGATTAATGGGTATGTCTATATTAACGTAATACGTATACGGCATTTAATTCGCCCAAGAGATTATTATATGGCATCAAGAATAGACTCTTAGTGATTTTAATGTGTACCTGCACACCAGCACAGTGTATAAATATATTTACATACAGGAACACACAAGAATAATTATCAGAGTACATATAAAATATGCAATAACTTTATAACACTTGAAATTTTAGAAAATTTCTAGACATAAGAGAGAGATGTGCTCACAGAGAATGTAAACAAAATGGGTGGGGCGCACCATATTAGAAAGACCGGAGCAAGTTTTGGTCATAATTTGAAATCGCCATATTAGCAGAACACCGTAAGGCAAAACACCATAAAGCGGGGCCCTACTGTGTGTCTATAGCCAACGAGTCCTGGTCACGAGGACTAGTTTAATGGAACGGGGTTAATCACAAGGGAAGATAACTAATGCGACTAGACATGAGCTAACCTGGTGGAAACAAACTCCAAAACCACCCAACTGACTCTGGAGAGTACAATGAAAAACTACTGTAGCTGCAATAATAATGGAAGACAAAATACATGTAACTTACTAATTGTATGGCTATTAATAGTACTGTCTTGAGGGTGAAACGTCTGCCGCACATATCAAAGAGATCCTCCAGACTGGGCCCTAGTAACTCCATCACCAGAGCGTTGTACTTCCCACACACACCAAAGTAGTAGATCCTTGGAATGCCTTCCACTGTAAACACACAAAAATATACATTCAGAAGCCGGTTTCAAAATAAAAAACAATCAAATTTTTAGTATATATAAAAATAAAACAAAATGAAAGTAAAAACAGCAAAATTGTAGTAGCTATCTATAGCTGTAATAGAAATTGTAGTAATAGTAACTGTAGCAGTAGTAATTGTAGAAATAGTAACTGTAGTAATAGTAATAACTGCAGTACAGTGGACCCCCCCCCTCCACCCGAGTTTCGTGAGCCTCATCCTTCATGAATTTCGACCTTCAGCAACTTCTTTCAGCAAAATAAAGCCTCGAGGTTCGTGATTTGCCTCGCAATTCATCCATCGTATGGAGTGTGTCTGTGCAGCTGGGAGCGGACAGGCGTACACAAAGGCTCACACACAACAATCAGAGCATCAGTGTGGCATTGTTTCTGCGCGAGTGACCATAATTCCGGGCATTCATATGATACATTTCGTAATAATCCATTGTTTTTGGTACTTGAAACTGCTAAATAAGCCACCATAGGCCTAAAGAAAGCTTCTAGTGCCAGCCCTTTGGTAAAGAAGGTGAGAAACACAATAGAATTCCGGAAAAAACTTGTAGCAAAATACCAAAGTGGAGGAGGAAGAGAGAGGGAAGAATGTGCCTTCTTCAGTGATTCTGCAATATGTACGATACTAAAGCAGCAGAAGTCTATAAAGGCTATAGCACCAGCCAGTGATAAAGTGTAGCATTAACAGTGTAGCAAATAAGTTAAGCAATTAAGCGATAGAAAAAGGATGACACGAACCGATTCCTCTAATGTTACTGGAGGTATATAGATCCACTGACAAACATACGCCGCCCTGCCTATCTTCCACCACCCTAAACCAATGCCAGCATCTCCAAGGTACAGTAAGTGTAAATATTTCTTATTTATAAATTAAGTACATTATTTTGTGTGAATAGTGTCGGTGGCTTCTGCTGCCGCCTAACACTAATATGTACAGCTTCTCTCAGTGGCCCTTACAGACTCAACATCACCACCACTCACTCCTCACATTCATAATGACATATTTTATTCATTCTAGAGTATATATCATGTTTCTATGTTATTAATATATTGTTTATTATGTCATATTAGATGAATAGATAAATAAGCTATGGAATATAGTTCTCCATAAAATGTATTTTTTGTTCATACTTTTGGACGTCTGACACGGATTAATTGGATTTACATTATTTCTTATGGGAAAAATGGTTTTGACATTCATGAATTCCAACTTTCGGCAAACACTCTGGAACAGATTCATCACGAAACTCGGGGGTCCACTGTAATAGTAATAATTGTTGTAATAGTAATTATTGTAGTAACAGTAACTGTTGTAATAGTAATTGTTGTAGTAACAGTAACTGTTGTAATAGTAATTGTTGTAGTAACAGTAACTGTTGTAATAGCAATTGTTGTAGTAACAGTAACTGTTGTAATAGTAATTGTTCTAGTAACAGTAACTGTTGTAATAGTAATTGTTGTAGTAGCAGTAACTGTTGTAATAGTAATTGTTGTAGTAACAATAACTGTTGTAATAGTAATTGTTGTAGTAACAATAACTGTTGTAATAGTAATTGTAGTAACAGTAACTGTTGTAATAGTAATTGTTGTAGTAACAGTAACTGTTGTAATAGTAATTGTTGTAGTAGCAGTAACTGTTGTAATACTAATTGTTGTAGTAGCAGTAGCTGTTGTAATAATTGTAGTAACAGTAACTGTTGTAATAGTAATTGTTGTAGTAGCAGTAACTGTTATAATAGTAATTGTAGTAGCAGTAACTGTTGTAATAGTAACTGCTGTAATAGCAATTGTAATATTAACTGTTGTAGCAACAGTAACTGTTGTAATTGTTGTAGTAGCAGTAACTGTTGTAATAGTAATTGTTGTAGTAGCAGTAACTGTAATATTAATTGTTGTAGTAGCAGTAACTGTTGTAATAGTAACTGCAGTAACAGTAACTGTTGTAGTAACAGTAATTGTAGTAACAGTAACTGTTGTAGTAACAGTAACTGTTGTAATAGTAACTGTTGTAGTAACAGTAACTGTTGTAATAGTAATTGTAGTAACAGTAACTGTTGTAATAGTAACTGTTGTAATAGTAATTGTTGTAGTAACAGTAACTGTTGTAACAGTAACTGTTGTAATAGTAACTGTTGTAATAGTAATTGTTGTAGTAACAATAACTGTTGTAATAGTAATTGTTGTAGTAACAGTTACTGTTGTAATAGTAATTGTTGTAGTAACAGTAACTGTTGTAATAGTAATTGTTGTAGTAACAGTAACTGTTGTAACAGTAACTGTTGTAATAGTAATTGTTGTAGTAACAGTAACTACTGTAATAGTAATTGTTGTAGTAACAGTAACTGCTGTAATAGTAATTGTTGTAGTAACAGTAACTATTGTAATAGTAATTGTTGTAGTAACAGTAACTGTTGTAATAGTAATTGTAGTAACAGTAACTGTTGTAATAGTAATTGTTGTAGTAACAGTAACTACTGTAATAGTAATTGTTGTAGTAACAGTAACTGTTGTAATAGTAAGTTGTAGTAACAGTAACTGTTGTAATAGTAAGTTGTAGTAACAGTAAGTGTTGTAATAGTAAGTTGTAGTAACAGTAACTGTTGTAATAGTAATTGTTGTAATAGTAATTGTTGTAGTAACAGTAACTGTTGTAATAGTAATTGTTGTAGTAACAGTAACTGTTGTAATTGTATTTGTTGTAGTAACAGTAACTGTTGTAATTGTATTTGTTGTAGTAGCAGTAATAATTGTAGTAACAGTAATAATTGTAATAACAGTAATAACTGTAATAATAATTAATCTAGTAATAGTAACTAGTAATAGTAATAATTGTAGTAATAGTAATAATTGTAGTAATAGTAATAATTGTAGTAATAGTAATAACTGCTGTAATAGTAAAAATTTTTGTAATAATTGTAGTAATAATTGTAATAGTAACAACTGTTATAATAATAATTGTTGAAATAGTAATAACTGTAATAGCAATAATAATTGTAATAGTATTAACTGTTGTAGTAATAGTAATAATTGTTGTAGTAATAGTAATAATTGTTGTAGCAATAGTAATAATTGTTGTAGCAATAGTAATAATTGTTGTAGCAATAGTAATAATTGTTGTAGCAATAGTAATAATTGTAGTAGCAGTAGTAATAATTGTTGTAGTAATAGTAATAATTGTTGTAGCAATAGTAATAATTGTTGTAGCAATAGTAATAATTGTTGTAGCAATAGTAATAATTGTTGTAGCAATAGTAATAATTGTAGTAGCAGTAGTAATAATTGTTGTAGTAATAGTAATAATTGTTGTAGCAATAGTAATAATTGTTGTAGCAATAGTAATAATTGTAGTAACAGTAATAATTGTTGTAGCAATAGTATCTGTTTTATCAACAGTAATAATTGTGGCAACAGTAATAATTGTTGTAGCAGTAGTAATAATTGTTGTAGTAATAATTGTTGTAGCATTAGTAATAATTGTTGTAGCATTAGTAATAATTGTTGTAGCATTAGTAATAATTGTTGTAGCATTAGTAATAATTGTTGTAGCAGTAGTAATAATTGTTGTAGCAGTAGTAATAATTGTTGTAGTAATAGTAATAATTGTTGTGGCAGTACCTAGTAATAATTGTTGTGGCAATAGTAATAATTGTTATAGCAGTAGTAATAATTGTTGTAGTAATAGTAATAATTGTTGTGGCAGTACCTAGTAATAATTGTTGTAGCAATAGTAATAATTGTTATAGCAATAGTAATAATTGTTGTAGCAATAGTAATAATTGTTGTAGCAATAGTAATAATTGTTGTAGCAATAGTAATAATTGTTGTAGCAATAGTAATTGTTGTAGCAATAGTAATAATTGTTGTAGCAATAGTAATAATTGTTGTAGCAATAGTAATAATTGTTGTAGCAATAGTAATAATTGTTGTGGCAATAGTAATAATTGTTGTAGCAATAGTAATAATTGTTGTAGCAATAGTAATAATTGTAGTAACAGTAATAATTGTTGTAGCAGTAGTAATAATTGTTGTAGCAGTAGTAATAATTGTTGTAGCAATAGTAATAATTGTTGTAGCAATAGTAATAATTGTTGTAGCAATAGTAATAATTGTTGTAGCAATAGTAATAATTGTTGTGGCAATAGTAATAATTGTTGTAGCAATAGTAATAATTGTTGTGGCAATAGTAATAATTGTTGTAGCAGTAGTAATAATTGTTGTAGCAGTAGTAATAATTGTTGTAGCAATAGTAATAATTGTTGTAGCAATAGTAATAATTGTTGTAGCAGTAGTAATAATTGTTGTAGCAATAGTAATAATTGTAGTAACAGTAATAATTGTTGTAGCAGTAGTAATAATTGTTGTAGCAGTAGTAATAATTGTTGTAGCAGTAGTAATAATTGTAGTAACAGTAATAATTGTAGTAGCAGTAGTAATAATTGTTGTAGCAGTAGTAATAATTGTTGTAGCAGTAGTAATAATTGTTGTAGCAGTAGTAATAATTGTTGTAGCAGTAGTATAATATTGTTGTAGCAGTAGTAATAATTGTTGTAGCAGTAGTAATAATTGTAGTAACAGTAATAATTGTTGTAGCAATAGTAACTGTTTTATCAACAGTAATAATTGTTGTGGCAACAGTAATAATTGTTGTAGCAGTAGTAATAATTGTAGTAATAATTGTTGTAGCATTAGTAATAATTGTTGTAGCAGTAGTAATAATTGTTGTAGCAGTAGTAATAATTGTTGTAGCAGTAGTAATAATTGTTGTAGCATTAGTAATAATTGTTGTAGCAGTAGTAATAATTGTTGTAGCAGTAGTAATAATTGTTGTAGCAGTAGTAATAATTGTTGTAGCAGTAGTAATGATTGTTGTAGCAGTAGTAATAATTGTTGTAGCAGTAGTAATAATTGTTGTAGTAGTAATAATAATTGTTGTAGCAGTAGTAATAATTGTTGTAGCA